CTTGTTTCCAAACGCTACAATAACATGACATCATATCTTCGTAATGAAATCAAAAATAGTTTAATATAAGAAATGACAAAGTAAATGGTTTGAACCCGGGAGTATCGTTATATGTTTGTAAATGATGATCGTCCAGGTTAATAAAGTCCTGAGAATGACTGTTTTTGTTGTTGTTGACTGACGTTTTGACAACCTTAGCGGTAGTCATCTTCAGAGTCAAATGAGGACTAAACGTCATGTTAGCCGTATTTGTTATCTGGTTCTTACGTCATTGTATTGTATGTACAGGAAATGTGTATTGTCATTGTGAGTTAGTGTGAAGTGAAATATTTTATTTTTAGTTGTGATGTGTGATTTAGGTGTGCAATGATCTAAATATTGATGTAATTCTGTTTGTTCTTGTTTTGAAGTATGGTTTGTCACTTGTGTGCTCTATTGCCAATGATGCGTCTTCTTTGCTTGTACTCCCCGTGAATGTACGTCAAGAGCGTTGGCTTTGGTATGTCCTAATTTAGAAGAAGATGGAAATGTTCTTTTACAGTCCGCTTCCAAATTAAAAGTTCCTAGTACAACCGATAGGAAGTTGCATGGATTTACACCTCCATGCTCCAAATGTATTAAGTGCAAAGGTTCAGGTACACGATCTTTCTAGAACTACCGATGGAATAAAAGTTTCGCTTAGATGCAATCGCTGTAATTTGCTTTATGGATATTCCAAGTACGGTAATGGGAAAGATGGCTGGATGTTATATCTCGAACAAAGAAAAATAATCGAGGGTACGGATGTCTGTTTCGTTGATTCAACTTTGCTCCTGTGGCAGCTGTCACTCGCGTAAGTTACAATATAGTCACTTGATTAATTAATGTTAAAATAGCAAGTAGATTTTACAAATGAAACATGTTTTACATAGTTGTCATTCGTGAGTATCATTTAATGGTTTTTCTGAAGCGCTTAATGAAGTATACAATGGCAGTAAGAGAATGATATGTTTTAGATCTGTATTACTGATATCACGTTGTTACGGTTTTCATTATTGAACAATTGTCAATAAATGCATGGAGAAGATAACGGAAGATGCATTATTATGCATCTTTAAAAACTGTTGAATTTTACTACTGTGGCTGGAAAAACATCATTTTAAGGAGAAAAAACACTTAAGTATAAAAGTTTAAACTTTAAGATGAGTGAAAATTATATAAAAACTTGAAGTAGCTACAAAGAGATTGGTTGTCACACTGCATCACAATACTTATGTTTTTTATTAGCTGGTGCATGTTTTTCGTCAAAATGTGACACTTTTGTTTTATGCCCAATATAAAGGAAATTCCAATGGATGTACTTCACTTAATGGACGTTTCATTTTCAAAGAAAGTGAGAACTTATTGCTGCCATAAGGAATGTAAAAAGCGAAATATTTTTCAAAGAGCACTCATGTTTTAGAGAAACAGCAAAGACATTCATGATCCATCTTAAAACAATGCATGGAAAACAAGAAAGAAATATTGCCATGCATTTGAAATATTAAACTTGTGAAAATTCACACATCCTTGTATAGTATAAAGAAAGACCAGTGTTTTATTTGTGCACTAGATTTGTAAAAAACTCCTTCTTACACACATCTATTTGTTCAACAACTAAACTATCCCCCGTCATTTTGATACACAAGCGTGATAACTCTTTCATGTTGAGATGAAATAAGCCTAACCATTTTTTGCGGTGAAGTAACTTCTAGCTAATTCATGAATAAAATTGACATCAATGAACAATTTAAACCCTGAACTTTTAACAAAATAACGCTTCCAGGAAATGCGCAATCAATGAAGTGAGAGACACCTACGAAGCTGTTTGCTGCATTGGTAGACAACCAAATTCAGACGTTTGGGTTTTGGGCGAAAACCTGCAATTGAACGGTGATGGTGTCGTCGTTACTGCAGAAGAGACTAGCATTATATGGGTCAAGCCAGTCTTGGAATCGGAAAGAACTGCAACTCATTGGGCTAAAGTAAACCTGCCTTTATGTTCCTTAACATTAGGTGAAATGGTGAACTCTCTGAAATCCATGTTGCATCATAATGGTATCGCTGCTATATTCACAATTGGTAAGCTCATTACAATATGTTCAATATTGTGGCAAGTGACGCCCGTTTATTACATAATTGTTGACGTTTTTCATGTAAAATACATTTGTCACATTTATGTTGAACCCATTTTAGCATGAAAAGAATAATAGTAATTTGTAGACCTGTTGCTTATTTAAGTTTTGATGTAGTTAAATAGTGAGTTTTATATGTAGCTACAATATTCACTTGAATGAAACAATATGAAGAGCAGGCGAAACTTGATCATTGATTTAATTAGTTTTTTTTCAAAATAGCTGCAATGTTATTAGGCTTTCATTATGAAATGATTGTGGATATTCTGAGATTTTGTCCCCTGCCCTTTGTATGTGGAACAAACAGACTTGGAAAGACAAAATCTTTAAAAGCCGCACTAAGTCTTGTAGGAAATGGATCAAACTTCTTTTCGGCAGTAAGGGAAAGATTCATCCCTAGGCTATGCAGCAGATCAACTTTGCCTCCCGTGCTCGACGACGTTAAGAGCCCCACAGTTATTGAAATTGTTGCGGTCTCTTTCTACAACAGTGGCAAAGACGGGAAATGTGTTTTCGAGCCAGTTCCTCGAACGATTCCGATGTTCACAGTCAATTGGGACACTTTAAAGGGATTGAACAATGACCCCAGGTACAATTTTTCCGTATTTATGGAAGAGGTTTGCTTTTTATTGCACTAATGTAATTTTACACGTGCTTTCGAGTACATGGAAGGCTTGTCCTAATTCCCTTTCAAGAAGGAGCAAGAAGTCCTCTCAGAATCGAGAATCAACACAACGCAGAATTCCATAACAATACAATAATGGAAAGAGGGTCTAGTGATTTTGGGACCATGGTGGCAATTAGCAGATCTGTCTAATACCTCTGCATAAGGAGAACTAATGAGCTCTGTCAACAATTTAACATTGAAGCACCGAACATCGACGACCGCTGTTTAAGAAATCGTGCACTTTTGGTAGCAAATGCTGAGAAGGTAACTGCCTTATTAACAACATAACACTAAAAATTGACTAATAGCCAATGACCACTTGCACAATTTTAACATAGGTAATACGGCTGGCAAGTATTGATGATCTCTATCCAAGCAATGCCATCGCTTTTTTCAAACAAACAATCCTGCCAGTGTGGATTAAGCGATTCCAGACCAACCAAGTGTCTCATGCAATGCTTCAAACAGAACAGCTAATTATTGTGGACTTTATAATATAAGTCAATAGAGCACAAAATATCTTGCAAAAACGTATGTAATAAATTCATAGCCCATAGACCAAATTCATAAAGTAATTGTGACATTTCTCATTTCTAGTTACTCACTGGGTAAATCCAAAAGTGACATTTAAATCAAGCTCAAGTGGAGTAAGACTTAATGGAGTAGCAGTGGCACTGAAATGGTTTTTTGCCTTGCTAAAAGATCACGGAGTTCTGTTTCCGAATGAAGAAAGAGTGAGACAAAAAATTAAGTCTCTCGACATTGGGGTGGTCAATGGGCGAGGCCAGTATTTCATACCAAATGCAAATGGTGAAAAGTTCAGCAGAGGCTCAAATGGAGTAGAAGCTGCTTCCAAAACTGCGTAATTATACAACAATCTGCATTTGGAAGTCAGAATTAAATTGTTTTTTCGGAAGGTTAGCATTTATAACAACTAGTTTTATACAGATGGAAGCAAGTGCGAGAGGATTACAAATGGAATAGACTGGCTACTCTTTAGTCATGATATGTTAGTTTCAAAGTATTATCATTATCAGCTTAAAATTTATTTGAGAACAGATGCTATTTAAAAAGAAATCTAAAGTGTATATTGACTAAACGTGTGATTGTCATTGAAAAGCCAAATAATAATAGTCATTATTTTTTTAGTCTTCAACATCTTAGATACAAATATCGCAAGAGACAGCTTGGGGTCCACCACCGAAACCAGCATAAATGATTCAAACACAGCGTTTACGTCTGAAATGGAAATTGGTAAACGCAGCAGACCGTAAACATCTGGAACCAGAAGATACAACTCAAACACACCGTCCACATCCGACAATGAAAATGCAAGAACAAACACATCACGTATAGTAAATGCAAACACCACGCAAAACTTACCCTTTAAGTGTGGTGGCACAATACCTGACGGACCTGACACACAATCAACATATGGTGCTGAATCAACAAATTCAGATGACAGTGGCATTAATCTGGAAGGTAAAAATACTGATAGAAACTATTATGCTAAAGGTTCTTCTATTTGTCTCATATCTAAAAATTTTTATCATACTAACATTTTGTTTTTATACTGTCGTATTAGTGGAGCTTGGAGAAGTGGACAGAATGGATGTTTTAAACACAATTAGTGCATCAAACAAAAAGAGATGCAAGCAAATAGGGAGCTAAGGAGACATGTTTAAAACAAAAAAGTTTAAGAACAAAGGTATATAATTAAAAAAGTATTGTGTTTTGTGTAACGTGTTGAGAATGATATGGTTATGAAAAATATAACTTCTCATCGTATAAATGAGCTATCTTGCCATGAGATTACCTAATTGGCTAGCAAAACAAACTATGTGACAGTTTGCCTTCATCATTAGACCAAATAAACACAGCGCCAAAGAGGGAGCTTGATTGACCACTTCCCACCTTCCCCCCCCCTTCCCACTATTTTTTCCCTGAGGTAAAGTTCATTCTAACATTTATATATTTTAGCCTAACGTGATGCAAGGTAAGACACAGTAAGTTTGTCTACAGTAAGTTTAGCCCTACAGGCTCACTTTTGTTGCGCCGTTTTTACCAAACTAGTGAAAGTTATTCGCCCCTTTACTAAATGAATCAAAAAGATTTATTTTCGTGGTTCTGATAAGTTCAATCCATGCTAAAAAAAACTGTATCAATTTGTCTTAGGACTCTTATTCCATGGTCATCGTATATGGGTTTTTGCCCCTATTTGCTCTGCTGATGCCCCCGCAAGATCTAAAAAGTGAAAAATACGAAGGAGTTTAATGGCGTTTGTGGGTGCGATTGGTGTCTCCATGCCGGTATGCTGTGTTTTATTTTTATCATATGCGATTTAAACTGTGACATTTGATTCTAACCAAATCTGAGAGTTTACTCTCAACGACATTTCTCGCATAATCTTCTCTGTCGAGACCCAGAAATGTTTGTCATTTGAGACGGCAAGGAATTTTTCGAGGAAAATTATTTAAGTAACATTTATTCTATGAAATTTTCCAAATACAGATACGGCTTAACTTGTTTCCTTTAGAACTTTCATACAAATCTTGCCCTTTTCAACTCGTTTTGCATTGCGAGAATGAATAAAATTGTGCAAGGTGCACAGGCTCTAATGACTGACACTTCTGCGTCAGTCGTCGATTGAAAACTAGAGTTAAAGCCATATGAGTTATGTGTTTTAATAAACAACTTGCAAGCAGGATTATGCTATGCTTTGTATTCATATTATTTGGATGCGTTTTGCGTTTTAGGAATACAAGTAATGCGTGGTAGAGGGAGCACGAGAGTTTATCCATTTGACGAGGCTCAAAAACAACGCAGCCATCATGAAATGGAATTGTGGGCATTAGAAGCTTTGGAAAAGGAAACTGCAATAATGGGTGTGAAAGGGCCAAGTATGCTTTCAAAGATTAGTCACTTTGACATGGTTAATGTTTTTGTTCTTGACTTTTTACATTGTGCTCTACTTGGAGTGGCACGTCAACTTGTATCTCTTTGGTTTGACAGCAGTAACCACGAAAGCCCATGGTACATTGGACAGCCTTTCAAACAAACAATTTATGACAGTTTAATCAAGAACATCGTTGTTCCAAAAGAAGTACGACGGCTTCCAAGATCTTTAACTACACGCGAACACTGGAAAGGTAATGAATACAAAATGTTTGTTTTGTTTTACTCACTTATAAACATGCAAGGAGTTCTTCCAGCATCGTACCTCAACCATTTTTTCCTGTTTGTGTGGGTCTTCACAAGCTGCTTGGTACAGTGCTGCCACTCATAAGGGAAATCCCCTACAGTAGGGGAATTTAGTGGTTTGTAGGTGGTAGGGGAAACCTATGAGGAAAACTGTCAATTGTAGGGGGATTGTAGGGAGAAAAGAAAATTGTTTAAAAATGAGCCTCATTTTTGCCAAAAATACTCTATTCTTCTTGTGTTGTCACCATTTAGCAAGTGATTGTAACAGAATCTTTCTTTTGGCACAATTTCTGACCATATATGGCAATAGAAGATCAGCAACTTAGCATAAACTCAGTGTGTCATTTGCGCCACTTGCATGTCATTACTTCCTACGCCAAATTACTAACTTTTTCGTCTAGATGTTCTTAGTTTTCAATAAATCTTTTTTTGTATGCATTTTTTCAAAACAGACTAAAAAATTCAATGGTCTGACCCAATGTAGTTATATAATATGGGAATATGCTGCTGTGTAGGGGAAACAAGGAAAATCATCGTAAGGGGTGGTACGGGGAAAATAAAGTTTTGGTAGGTGAAATGTGCATACACATAGTGGTAGCACTGGCTTGGCACTTCTATTTCAAAAAATGACTTGGCAAAAGTTAAAGCTGGACTTGATCTGTTTATTTTGAAGATGGAACAGCTGTATGGTGTTTCCCATTGTACATTTAGTGTTCACCAACTGTCTCACCTGGCTAAGAGTACTGAGATGTGTGGACCACTATGGGCTGTATCAACATTTTTGTTTGAGAGCAACAATGCTACTCTGAAGAATATGATCCAAGGAACACAGTATGTTTCTGGTCAGGATCTATGAAGCGGAAAAACTGCTACGTTAAAGTAACACGTCAAGGTAAATCATTTTTTAATATAATAGCTGGATTGTTTTCTTTGAAAAGATGCAACTGTCACATACAGCATCACGAAGAATGTGTTTGTCCTAAATTGAACGTAATTGCATACACCCTTTTCAACGTTGTAAGAAATCAAATGTACATTGAACATTAATTAAAACATTACGTCTGATTTTATATCAGAGATTATAGAGTCACCAGAGGTAGTTATATTGAACTTAAATGAAATCGTCTCCAAATGTATCAAAGTTGTCCATAAAAAATAAATTTATCTGATTAGTTTGCCTAATTCTGTTGAAATGGAGTAGTCATATTCCTGTCTGTCGGTTATATTTATTAATAGTGCACAAGGTCTATTGTCCCGTAAACAGCACGTAAGCTTTGTAAGTATAAGATAAGCCATGTTAATAGCATATTTCTTGCAATTTTCCTATCCAAATATAATGCATTCCCATAATACAACGCCTTATATTATATAATAAAGATACATATAAAAGAATCTTTATACTATAGTGTTGTTGCAACATGTTGTTTTGCGTGAACAAACCTTGGCAATGGTGTTTAAAACACATTTTTAACAAAATGAGAACATTTGATTACAGTTTAATGCCAACCATGTAACCGTAATTTTTTTATATTAGCTATGTGTCTTTGTAAACAAACTGTATTAATTTCGTTGAAATCTCTCTCTTTTTTCTAAATACGATAGCTTTATCACAATAATTATAACTTTCTTGCAAATGCAAAAAATGTCCACTGTATTTTTCAAAAACTTTAATTTTGTGAACAAACTGTATTAATACTGTTTGAAAACTAGAGTTTTCCTTTAAACACGACAGTGTAGTTTTTTCATATAAACACAAAGTTTTCTCACTGTTTGTTTCAAATGAACTATATTTTTCTCCTTTACACATATAAACAATAGTTGTCTCTTAAACACCATAGTTTGTTATAAAAACTATAATTGTTTCCTAAACGCTTTAGTTTCCCACATAAACTATAGTTTTCTAGTATACACAGTAGTTGTTCCTTCTATAAACTGTAGTTGTCTCAAAAACGCCACAGTTTTCTTATAATAACTATAGTTGTCTTCTAAACACTATAGTTTTCCCAGATAAACTTTACTTTTCCTTGATAAACTACAGTTTTCTCCTAAACACAATAGTTTATTCCTCTTATAAACTATGGTTTTCTCCTAAACGCTATAGTTTTCTTATAAAAAATGTAGTTTTCTCCAAAAAAACTATAGTTTTTAGCTAAAAACTATAGTTTTTTTTGTAAGGGCTTAGAGTCTGTCAGTCATTTTTTTACGCTGTAATTGATGAGTTTGTGCCTTCACCAGCATTTTCATCTATTGTTAAGCATGTGTTAATAGTACAAGTATAATAGTAAAGTTACAAAAAATCGTACAGAATAGTTAAAACTTGTGAAAAAATTTTCTCAGGGTAACATGAATGATTTTAATTTGTTTGTTAGTACTTGCGCCTCATCCCTTGGTAAAGGCGTCCGTATAAAATACGTGGTCAATCTTGCCATGATTCAGATATTTTTCTGACTCATATGCATTATTAATCCACCAAGATAGGTCCTCCAGCGCCGAAGGGGAGAGTTTCAATTTCACATCAAAGTAACCCCTGTTAGACTTAAGAGCTGTTGTTTTGTCCCTATCAAGATCACGATAAAACAGTGGGCAATATTCAACGCCAGGAAAACAAGCTACCATCATACCAGTAACTTGGCCACTGCCCGTATGCTAGGAGAGTCAGATTTTAGCACCCCCCTGGCAACCTCGCATAATTTGTTGTGTTTCTCTATGGATATAGAGATAGTCATATCTATTGAATTTAACACAAACCCTAAATGTTGTAAAATCTGTGTGGGTTCCGTATCAGATTAAACATTACGGGGTAGGAATCCTAACTTTTGAAACAATTGTAGAGTCTAACGTACGTTTTGCTTGCATTCTGAATAGGAGTAGCCCATTAAAAAAGAATCATCAATGTTGCAGCTAGAAATGTTCCCAAGCTCCCTCAGCTTAGAATATACAGGCTAGAGTATCTTTGTAAATAAACATGGAGCGGAAGATAATCCTTGAGCAAAGCATGTGAATTGGTACAGACTACCTTTCCACATAAATTTTAAGTATTTTTGATGCTCCATGTGTGTTGGTATTGAGTAAGAGGCATCTCTAAGGTGAACGGATGCCATGTAGTACCCAGGTCGCATGAGCTGAGTACAAGTATGGATAGATTCCATTTTTTAGTGGTGATATGTTTTAAATGTGTTGAGCTCTTTTAGGTTTAATATCATTTTAAAAGATCCATCTTTCTTTGCTCTAAGAAAGATATTGGAGATAAACTCGCCCTGTCCATGCATGCTTGTAACAATGATACCTTTCTCTAGAAATTTTGTAAATTGACGATCGGCAAAATGCATGTAGGATAGTAGAAATTTTCCAGTGGACAAAGTGCAGGTAGGATATTAGAAATTTTAGTTGGCAATGGTTGGTCTGTTAGATCATTCTCAATCATTTCGTGAATCAGCTCATCTACCAAAACATCGCTTTGGTTTGCTAAAGCTGTATCTCTAGCTGCAACTACAGCAGCAGCCCTGTTGGTTGAGTGTTCGTCATCAGTTACACCTTCAGGCATATCATCACCATCGTTCATTTGCCGGTCAGCAACATAAGCCTGCTTGAGCTCTTTTACTACAGGAGCAAAAGTACTCATCAAGACAGTAAGTTGATCGACTTTCCTGTTAAGGTCATGCATCCAGAGCAGTTCTCCTGTCATTTCCTTCTTGGCTTCAGCAGGAGATTGCTCTTCTTGGCTTTAGCAGGGTGTTTGTACCCTGCCCCACCAGACTTGCTCATTTTCCCTTGTAGACAAAACCGTTTCTGCTCCGGTTCATCGTCTACATTCACGTCTCCTAATAAGCCTGACAGCGTCGGATTGGGATGGTTATGCAAGAGCGTCAAGTCGTCTGCTTGCTCAATAGCTTCACTAACTTGTGCCATTTGTTGTTGAATAAGTTATCTAACCACAGAAAAAGAGTTTGCCGCGCAAACTCAGTGGTTATGTAGGTGTTTTGTCCTGTATTGTTTGCTAAAACTTTTTTGTCGTTCTATCAGCAGGATAGCAAATTATTTTATGGACTATTCGTATATAACCAAAAACGCCATATGTAATGGCGGTGAGCAAGGTAGAGAATGATTAATGTGCGCATGCGTAGTATTTCGTGGGATCTCTGCTGTAGACGCTAATAGAATCGAGGTTTATAAAGTGCCCAAATTTCAATGCTTTAGAATTTTACGTTTTTTAAGTCCGTGATGCTTTAAAAAATATTAAGTTTGATGAAGCACGTCGTGGATGAACGAAGTCAAACGACACGGACAGAGTAAGAAATTCATGCGATAAATAAGGAAGAAAACTTATCAATACTTTTCTCACAAAACATGCTAGTGCTCAATGGTCACCACAAGGAGGTTCTCAATCCTCACCACGAAAAATGTCTGAAGAAAACCAGTTAAAAAATGTACCTAGGCAATACTACAGCGGCCATGTTAGCTCTTAACTCCACCACAATGGCGGACAGAAAAGCTGTGACGTCACGTGCAAACACTATACATTCTGAAATAGACCAATGGCATACCAAAAGCATAATCAAAAAAACGTCAAAATAACCAAACGAGATTCTTTTAAATATACTAGACTAAAAAATGACGGCACATTCAGAATTATACTAAATCTTACAAAATTTAATCAGTGTTTATCATATCTTCATTTTAGAATAGATTCCTCGAGTGCATAATCAAGCTAGTTGACAAAAATTGTTTTGTGGTGAGCGACGATCTCATAAATGCATCTTATTCCATACCTTAAATACTTGAAGTTTTATTGTAAAGACAGACTCTATCAATTTACTTCCCTACGCCCCCACCCTCATGCAACGTCAGTGGCCGAATTTAGTCTACTCTGATCTCAACATATGTTCTATGCTTTTCCACTCTTCAGTATTATAGGAAACGTACCGAAGAAAATAAAAGAAAAAAAAGCGAGAGGTGTGTACGCGTGTTCTTCCAAATTGGTTAACGCAAGCGTGGTACCCAAAAGCTCTAGCAATGATGGAAATGCCACCAATACACCTAAAGACATCGATGACACTATTAAAACTCCCCAGTCATCCGGAGGAGATTCGTCGACTTTACAAGAAAATCACTTATGATCCCCATTTTATCCGGGAAAATCTAACAAACCAAAATCTGTCAAATGCAGCGAAAGAAATTCCCTTGACATCATGGCGTAAATTTACAACAAAACAACATAAGTCATATTTGTTTCGTTGCGAAGAATTTTTTCATCAGCAAAAACTTCCACCTTATGAGTCATGTACGGCAAAAGCCATTAAATTTCTTAACGAACTTATTCATTTATGGCTGGGGTACAGTGCTGTTAACATTATCTTTGGTGATCATTCCAAACGCTGGAATCTCATTCGGTAAAGATCCTTTGGTGTGCAGATTTCTAAAGGGAGTATTTGAACTTAAATTTTGTTCACCAAAATACTCTAAAAAATGGGATGTGAAGAAAGTTCTAAATTACTTAACATTGATCTTAACATTGAATTTCATTCCGTCGACCAAATTAAACTTAAAAACCTCACAATGAACTTAGCCACATTACTTATTTATTGACGGGAAAGTGATGTCAAACCATCCACCGAATTTATGCGAATTTTAATCAGTCAACTTATGATGGATGTGTTATTACCATCAATCATGTACTTAAGCAAACTAAGGCAGGGAAACACCAAGCCCCTCTGCACCTACGACCTTACCCGGATGACAAGAGACTTTGCGTCATAAGTTATCTTCAAGAATAAGTTAAATGCACAACTATTTTGTGGAAAGAAAAAACCCAACTGCTTATAAGTTTTAACAAACCATATAGGGTAGTAACCAAAGATACTGTTGCTCGTGGGGTAAAAGCTACTCTCTAACTATCCAGAATTGACACAGAAGAATTTTCTTGCCACAGCAATTGTTCTGTTTCAACTTATTGTGCAGCAGACTTAAATTTATCTAACATCATGCAATCAGCAGGATTGTCCAAGTCTGGTACATTCGCGAAGTTTTATGAGAAACACAAGTTGGTGGTGATTTCAGTTCAGTTATCCTGAATAGCACTGGTAAATGATATAGACTGTTAAATTTTGCAAAAAAAGATTTATATTTTTATTGTTCAATTTGATTTATACGCACATAGTAAACAGCAACAGAACTTTGAAATGTCTTTTGACTCCGTAGTGACTTGACTGATGATCTAGTAGAATTCTAAAATTAAACACGACTTACCTGCAAGTTGCAGTTTTTGATTGGAATTCTACTAGTCATCAGTCGGGAACGAAGAAGTCACATGCCCATATATATTATTCACACCCTTCTTCACACTCTCCGTTCTTCTTTACTTGAAACTGTTCACGTGAAAAACTGATCAGTTAAGTACGTGCGCGCTTCTCATGTGATTCCGTCGTTCTCAACCATTGAACTAATAAAATACAGGGAACGCTACCTGTAATAGAAATGTTTAATAAATTCTTTAAACAAGTTTTTATACCCAGACACGCTAGATTACACTCAGATATGCCTGTGTAGTCAATCAATTTTCAGAATCTTGAAACACTACACACGCGTGTCTGGGTGTAAGATTTGGCTTCAATTATTTGCTTTAGGTAGCGTTCCATGTATTTTAGTTCAATGTTCCCGACTGATGACTTGTAGGATCCCAATCAAAATTCAACTTACAGAAAAGTCTCGTTTAATTTTAGAACTTTGAGAACAAGATCTTAAGGATGTTCCGCAAAGAGATATATACGTGCTACATTGTGGGTCGGGAATCGTCATTTGTGTGTAGTAATACCGTAGGTTATACCTTCGTATTTAATTCATAATCGTTGGGCACTTATAAATGGGTATTTTTATTTGTTCATTCAAGCTGCCAAAAAAATTCAAAGCAAAATTAGCTATGAGAGTATGAAGTTTACAATTTGACTCACGCATTCTCAATGGGAGCAATTATTCTTTTTTGGTTGGCTTCCAAACATTACTGATTTATGATGTTATGATTGATGACTATAATAATATGCAGATCACATTATAAAGTTGAAACCACACAATAGGTAAACTTATTTTGTGCTGAAACCATACAACTTCCGTACGAATATAGGTTGATAAAAGCTTGTACTGAATACTGCACGGTTTTCATGAAATTATGAACGTCTTCATCAATTTCTTGTTTTTCATATTGCTGTAATATAGTTTCTTAAAGCCACTTACAATAAAGGAGCATTTATCCATTCTTTGCATTTAAACCTGAAATTCTGACCTATGATGTCATAAGTGATGAATAATATACAGATCACAACAAGTCGTTCATTATTAAACCATACAACTTCCGCTCAAAAATAAATTTAATTATTTTATATACTGAGTACTGCTTTTCACGAAATGATAAACGTCTTGATCAAATTAATGTTTCTAAAATGCTCGAATGGAATCTTCTACTGTGAATTAACCAAAAAAAGCTATTTATTATGAATATATGGTGAGAAAATGCACCAGTTTCGACAATATTAGTTTTGATGGCCAAAATTACAAAGCCACTATCATGTTTCAGAGATCATGTTTCACGTATTTTGTTTCACAGACAAAAGAAAGAGCGAGACCAATTTTTTGGCTTTGACGCCTCACGTTTTTTTCATCGTAGTGATTTTCCTTTCTGTTACAAAGTAAAGAAGAAAAGAAGCCAGTGATTGGTAAATGTTTTGATGCCGCGGATATCCATCGCTTAAAAAAAGAAAAGAAATAAGCAAAGGTTCGTTAAATTGTTCTTTATTGTCTGGATATAATATGTGCGTCATTATAAACATAGAATCTTACAGCCATACTAAAGATCATGCAACACGAAAAGATTCAGACAAACGTAATGTTTAAAGAAACTAGCAAAAGATAATTTTAGCCATAATTGTGATATAAAGTTGTCTTTGATGAGACAATGCCAAAATTCCAAAGCCATCATCAGAGAATTTATTCATAATAATATCAGTGCCTAAATACTTCCACAGATTTCATCACCGCAAATACTCGTTTTTCATTGATGCATTTGTACACATTCAATTTCCTTTTTTAATAATATAAAAATTGCATCATATTTATCGTTAAATCGAAGTTTTATTGTTATTCGATGGGTTATTAGATAGGGAAATCACGGCGTTATGTGAGAGTAATGCGGACGCAGGTAGAGATCAGTTTTCAACGCTGTTTGTGATTTCAACAGCATTCAGTCATCAAAAAAATGGGCGAGCGCAATGTACACTTAAAGTGACTCTTCCACCAAACATTTTTTAGCAATATAACATCTGTCTATGATTTTAAGCCTCTTTGAGAAAAAAATTTGAATTTGGTCAAATCGTTTCTTTTTGTAAAGCGTTAAATTCCCTAAAATTGTATATTTTTGTGAACCATGTGAACCGTAATAATGAGGAGGCTGAAACTAGCTAAATTTCCGACGTCATCCAAGGTACTCCGTGTTACACGGGTTGTGTATTGACTATATTCAATAGCTATCAAGTCACTACTGCTGAAGCATAGCTAAAGTCTATAAGCGTCTAAAAGCCTTGCCTTTGCAGAAAATGGTAAATAGTTGCATTGCAGCCATTTGTACGAATAAATCAAGCTTTAGCTTTCGTATGAGTCTTTACAGTATGCCCTGTAATTTTAAAAAGCCCGAGGCTAAGCGAAGACGAAATATATGGGTTTTAAACCAAAGCGCATATTTGAGCCTTTTCAGTGCTTCAACCCTTTGTTCAGCTCACTTAAAACCAAAGGATTTGGGGCGTCAGCTCAGTAGTTTTAAGAATCAAAAGAACGCTAATTTTCCAGGGATTAAAAAAGATGAGATTGGAATTAGTGTCTTTCCGACCATCCATATGTTGGAGTCAAAATCCGAATCATTATTGCTCAAGATTCATTGCCTTCCGAGTTTTCTATACAGTATCCTGGTATAAGGTTTTTGTCAGAATTATCTGACACAACATTATATTCTGTTTCTGATTCCGATTCATTGCTTTCTTCGCAAGGGGCAATACTTCGGAATGAGCACTTTGATTTAATGTATGCTCCCGAGTGAAATAGTGAGTTTTGTTTTCCGAGAGAAACATTGATGAGACTCGTGGGAAAATTTGCATGAGACTCCTCAAAATTCATTTACTAATATTTAATTTCACACAATCTGTACGAAGGCCTGGTTCACTGTTCTGAAACTTCACTCGAATGAGGGGACTGTATTTTGACAATTGTTTTTAACATTTCGATAAGATATTTACAGTGGCTGTGCACGATTTTTACAAGACGGAGTTCCAAACGTTGGTATTTCACGATACGGAATATTTGAACTGATAGAGTTAAGATTACGGACAACGGATTACGTTTTCGTACTTTATTGGGTTCTGCAATACGTTTGCTAAAGTACCAAATTTGTACGACCAATTCATTCACGAATTAGATCAACTTTTTTCCATCGATAAATTTTTTAAAAGTTCGTGTGGATGTTTATTATAACAAAAAAGATAGCATACGCATAATAGAACAAGTCTTTGAGTTCTAAGTAAACAAACTATCTGATTAAACTCCGTATCATCTCCGTATCTCTTACTAAACGTTCTCCATTATCTTGTATAGTTTGCGGTCTCATTCTTTCAGGCCTTAAGACTTGTACTTCTCTCAATTATACTCAATTTTGATTTCTTGTAACTTGAGTCAAATTAAGCATTATATTCAAATGATACTTGTATTTTTCTTATTGTTGTTTGCAAAGCGCAAATAGAGAGTTTTAGTTTAGCGTTTACGGCAAACGGCAATTCTAAATTATCCGTTTGCCATTGAGGTTTGTTTCTTTGAAAAAGTAGAATTTAATACGTAGTTTTGCATTTGTTATTTAAGATTTGCATTGTCAGGAGCTGTATTTCCTATTTTATTAACACTCTGTTGATAGCTTAATAGGCATATTCATGATTTATACTCACTTAAAATAATTACTATGCTTCACAAAAGTCACTTTGTTGTAATAGAAATACACTAAAATGCATGCAGTACTTTATCTACAACAAAAAGGGCCTCCTGCCTTAAAACCTGAACTGCTAACCGCAACGTAAACGGCAAAGCCGTCATCACGCCTCGACGAAAATTTGAGTTCTTATAATTTTTAATTTTTCGCATCCAAAATAATTCGCTAGCCAATCAGATTTTTTAGCGGTTTTTGATTTTTGCATGCACGTTTGTCTGCCGTACTCAGTTTTTAAAATGGTGGACGTAAAGGAGTTTTTTGCTTGGGAAATGATGGAATTTCCATATCATCTTACAAATATACTTTACAGAAACTCAAGTTTTAGAAAGCAAGTTCTTGGACAAAATACGAAAAAAACGATACTCATGGAAGTATATTATATGTCGTGAATACTAAGCTCTCGCACTAACAGATGAAATTCTCCTTTTCATCACCGTTACAACATACAAACGACATACAAAAAACCATTCCCAGCTAGCAAAATCACGTTGTCTCAACGTTGTACCAACGTTCGTTGAACGTTAACTCAACGTCGGGGACCAACGTTGAGTGAACGTTTTTTGGTGAACTCGTAGGAACGTGGGGGCGACGTTAGGATGAACGTTGGGATGTAACGTATTTTCAACCAAAACCCGACGTTTATACAACGTTCCTACACCGTTATCCGAGGTTCATACAACGTTTACCTGACGTTTATCCGACGTTCATTTAACATACAATTAATGATGCATTATTTGTGAAATCATAAAACAGCCTTTCCAATGATATGAACTAAAGTTTTATTTCCATATAATCAACTTTTAACTCATCGATTTGAACTAAAGTTTTATTTCCATATAATCAACTTTTAACTCATCGATTTTGCTGTTTTAATATACATATTTACAAAAATGCTAATTAAGCCGATTCCAATAAGTTGCATTTTCGGACCTGCAAGAAAATAACATATATGATTATTAGAAAATGGTAGTCTATATATCATTTTTATATGTCTTACCAACTACAACAACATTGCCATATTTGTCTCTAAAAGATGCCATTTAAATGGAAAACTGAATCGTCTGCTGTATGTATATCTTCTTCATTTAATTTATATAAACATATAGATCAAAGCATTTTTTAGGTTTATTCACTTAAAAGCAATCGAATAAATCCACTTATATAAATGCCACTACGTACGTATGTCGGATATAATAAATTATCTCGCGTTACAACGTCATCTCATACGCAAGAAAAACAAAACAAGTGAACAAAACTTTAATCGTTGCGGCACCTTTTTCACATTTAACCAGCACTTGCTTGTTTATAGAAAGAATAAAACAATTATTGAATTGGGTTTTCACGTAATATAAAAAATTATCAAGGCATCAATGTGTTCTTTCTGCCTCAGCGTTGGTTGATTGAACAAGCCTTGGCCTTCATAAATCTTAATTCATATACTATTTCATTCAATAATTGTTTAATATCACGCAAAGCAAATTGTATATAATAAATCTAATCATGAAGTTTGAGTTAAAATTTTAAAACTTGCACATATCTAATACCTGCACTAAAATGAACGTTTTTAAAGGTACGCATTATGTATATGTGTCCATTCCATTTTGCTTTACTTATAATTGAAAGGCAATGAAAGACACATGCTCACTTACTTTAAGTGCACATGCCAATAATGTTATTGTGTATTTTTTTCAACTTACACAGACAAGAAAAAACATATATGCTAACTATGAGATTACGGAGTAAAATAAATTGGTTCTCCCTGTCTAAGTTGAGAAAATGAAACAAAGAAAAATTGGCATCTATATACTTTACCCAGCAATCTATGATGATAATGACATGTTACCTTAAATCTGGAACCACCTTGCTTGCGTTGAGTATATTTTAAAAATTCGGCAATTTGCTCTTCAAAGTTGGCCTCGCTGCATCGTTGATGATCTCTGAGGCAGGCTTCTAACAAGTGAAACGAAAAAGAAAAGACATAGTCTAAATAAATTGCATAGATAAAACACTAAATCATTTTCGTAAGCTGAATGATAAATAACATTCATTATAGTGACATATGCAAAACAGTTTGATGTATTAGCTTTTAAAACTTGCAACAATATTCCTTATGACAAGGAGCAACATAAATGGCTGTTTTTCCGATTCATGAACGAGAAAAAAGAGACAAAACATAGTACTGTTGCAGCTATCATTATCGTCTAATTGTTCTTACTTGTTATAACTTTGCAGAGGGCAAGGTGCTGAAATGGTCGCTTTGACTTTCTGCCTTTTAAACTGAATTGGAACCATAGATTATTTCTTCCTAGCTTTGTCATAATTCTTCTAACACTGTTTGATCAGGTGTTTGCGCACAGTGCTACCAAAAACTGCAGCTAGTAAAGAGAGTAAAAGATAAATTATATAGAAAAGTTAAATTTAGACATATATATAAAAAAAACCATTTTGATCTCAAGTTGCAAAACAAAACCATCCAAAAAGATCAGTTTCTTCGTTAAAATTTTTCAGCCCAAATAAAACGACACACTCCTAAGAGCCGTTAGAAGTATTGTAAAGTATTTGAATTAATCAGAACACGACAATGCTCTCACGAAAAACACGATGCTATATTCATATAGTTTAATCAGATAATCTGACCCCTAACGTCACGAAAACCGTCAGTAAAATTACGTTTCAGACTTTGACATGCATGTTTTCAAGCTTCAAACACAAATGGTAAAATAAAGGTCTTTTTTAATGGTAAAAAAATGGTAACAAATGGTCCTCAAATTCTTCAACCGAATCTAAAAGATTAGGTACAACATCTTCCAAAATTTTGTTCTTGTCTATACCTTTTGTAGCGCTTAACAGAGCACGCAATATTGACAGCGCTTCTTGCTTATCAATTAATGTTTCCAGTTTGGTGAGAGATTTTTTACATGCATGTCTCTGTCAAAAAATTGTCCACTTGTACAAGGATTATAATTGCACTTATACCTTTTTCTGCAAGGGAGATTAGCTCGCTGTACACCGGCAAATCTAAAAAGCAAAATCACTCATTAGATTTAAATGCAACGTAGCAATATGTGAAAAACTGCACTCCTTTGAATAAAGCAACGGCCTATTGCATTGAAACTACAGTACTTACTTCTAGAATTTGTAGATAAGATTTCATTGACGGCTTTTATCATATTACTTTCAGAAGAGTCCAATAAATGCTTATTGTTCATACAAAAAGATGTGTAACGTGGTGCAGGAGGTAACTGAGGGGCTCTGTGTTGAATTACGGATTCATCACTGTCATCATCGTCTAATGAGAAAAAATACCCAATCATCGCATAACAATGTTTATTGAGTACTCAAGCTATACTAAAAATACTAAAATGTGCTTAATTTATTGCTTGCCAAAGATGCAATATTTAGGTAGCTACGGAAATACATTCAGTCTTAATTCTATCTTTTCTCATCTTAAGTAAGAAGACGTAGCCAAATTCAAAGAACTTATTGTGTTTCGCACACAAGATCCTTCATTGACTACAGCCATATACGCACGTAGGTAGTTATAACAGTAGAAATAAAACACTTTTCTGTGTTACTGTGTACGTAAGTTGTTGTGATCGGAGAGAAATATCTAGAATACTATATAACCTACTTTCTATGTCACTGTAATCTGGAAATTTTCCATACTCCTTTGAGACGAGGACGTTTTCGTGGCTTGTCGTTGATTGACTCATCATCTGATTCAATGTTTGAAGTGGCAATGGCTCTTCTAGCGAACTTTTGGGCACTTTTAAAGTTGTCTAAGTAAAAGAAAGGTTTAAATTTAGAAAACAGAGCATCAAATCGTTTATAGCACTTTTGAGGCTTCAGTACACAAATATGAAACAGCTGGCAGCGAGTTTATAGAAAATTCTGAAAATAAAAAATTTCTACACCAGGCATAGCAATGATTATTTACAATCAAAATGGAAATAACTGGAAATCCAAAACAAATGTAACCTAAATGAAAAATTCCTACTATAATCAAAAGACATCATATTAACCTGCAAATGTGAACATTCTGACTTTATGTTTTTTCCAACCATTTTTGTCTGTCAATTCCAGCTTCTTTATCCTAGCTGAGACGTTTGTCCTCGACCAATAGCAACACAAAACCTAAAGTGTAATTAAATGAAAGTTAGTTGCATTGACCTGTACGTATAAACTCAGGAAGATCTTTAAGATATGCATATTACATTCTATGGGAGTCCATTGTCCTTTACAGATTATAGCATGTGCTTGTGACTTATATCAATCTTCCAACGTAGATATGCATAGCACATACTTGCAGTAACGAGCACATAAATAAAAATGAATGATTGAACAATATTGCATAAAAACAATAACGCAAAGCAAACCCTACACCATCACATGCTTTAATCCAACTTTTGGGAACAACTTCAACTGACATCTCATCAAGGAAATCTACAACTGCATATGTATCAGTAGACATCTAAAGCAAATAAAAATACAATTTCAGATTGGCAGAGTTCGAAATCATAGCTCATTTGAAATTCCCCTCTTTCTGGCCTGCAATACTGTTTCTCAGGTACATACCAGTACTCATTTCCTATTTACATTCAAATAAACATGCATCAGGCCAAATCAATGAATTTGGTTTAGTACTTTAATGGACTGCAAAATGTAAAGCCAAGGCAATAATTGGACAAACGATACTTACACTAGTATTATAAAGTAACCATGCATTGTTATGAATGAACATTCAATTACCTCTTAGTAAAATTATATCACTGTTTGAAAACTGCTGTGATTTTCAATAGAAACTACAACTATTTTAAGGTTTAGGGCTACGTGATTCTATATCAAAAACATTTTGTAAATCACATAATCACATAACCCCATGTTAAACAATATTAATCATCATCAGAGACGTATTTATTATAAAAAGGTTTGAGTTTAATGTTACAAAAAAAACAAAAAAACTAGCAAATTTTTTGTCGAAACAATTGAAAATTAAGGCTTGAAAATTAATGAATTATGAAAATATATTTGTTAAATGTCCAAATAAATATGCAAATAACCCGCAGGCTTTTCTGAATTTTGGCGATAAATAATTGGTCTTATCACTAAAGATCAAAAAAATTGGCCTTTCTTAGGGGCCGATTACATGGACCGAGTTGTCCCGGCAAGGTGAGTTGTCTCGGGTATCCGGGTTAGCTTTTTTCAAGCGATTACATGGACTGAGTTGTCCCGGCAGGGTTAGTTCTCTAGGGTACTCGGGCTCCTGGCTCTGGGAGAGACTTCGAATTTTTTGCGAGAAAATATGGCGAACATTTTGTAAACAATGAATTTTTCGCATCACTCCATTCTTGTTTCCTGTCTACTTTTTCAATTTTATTGTTTCATTTACTTATGGGCAGCATACAAGCAATACGTTCACAAAGTTTCTTATAGTTACTATGCCACAAAAAAATCAGTTGCTGAGAAAAAAGCACGATACATAAGAGCTAGAAAACTTAGTCGGAAAAAGCGAGCTATATGGACCAAAAAAGGAAGAACTGACTTATGGTGGAAGAATATGTTTGATGGAGTTACCCCAGATAATGAGTGGAAGCGAAACTTTAGAATGTCGAAAGAGCGATTTTTTCAATTGTGCGAGGAGTTGCGACCTTACATTTCTAAAGGAATAAACACTCCAAATTATAGGTCTCTCTCTCGTGAAAAAAACTCGCTATCACTTTATATTACCTAAAAGACACTGGTTCTATTTGGATGACGGCGAATGCCTTTGGTGTTCATCAATGTACAGTTTCTAAAATCGTTTTAGCTATTTGCAATGCAATTTGTATACATCTTTGTCCAATATATCTGCACCTTCCACAAACGGCAGTGGAAATGAGCAAAAAAGTGGCTGAGTTTCAAACAATGTTTGGCATGACTCAGACATTTGGCTGCATTGATGATACACACATTCCCATTCAAAGACCGTTGGCTGATTCTCAAGATTACTTCAATTATAAACAGTTTTTCTCCATTAATGTTCAAGCTGTTTGTGATTCAAATGGCTTATTCATGGATGTTGACTGCAGGTGGCCTGGCAGCGTCCATGATGCGAAAGTATTTTCAAACTCATTCATAAATAATGAACTAAAATTGGGAAGATTACCACAAACCTTCACTCATGTTTTACCTGGTCATGACAAGATAACTAACTACCTCATAGGTGACCTGGCATATCCTTTAACACCCAACTGCATTAAAGAATACCAATCATGCTTAAGCAATGATGAGGTAGTTTTTAACAACATGCTAAGAGCCGCAAGAAACCCAGTAGAATGTGCATTTGGCCGCCTAAAGGCCAGATGGTGAATTTTGACAAGAAAAATAAACCTTAAACTGGATGATGCAGTACCAAAAGTTATTTTAGCTTGTTTTGTTCTCCATAATTTTTGTGAGATGCACAATAGAGACATGGATGAGGAGATTGTCCAAGATCAAATAGCTAGGAACAGAGATGAAGAAATAGCTCACAAAAACAGCCCAGATCCAGTGTACTCAAGTACCACCAGGGAAGGAGAACTAGTCAAAGACACACTAAAACAATATATTAATGCACATTTGCCTTACTAGTCTTTTTAATATTCTCAAAGCAACAGTTTTTTTCTTCAAATACATGTTTATTTCATAAACAAAGAACATTTGTTCCACTCTAACAAGAACAATGTAACATAAAGAATTACTCAGTATGAATTCAACATAAAAAATAAAACAAATATGATGTTTTTAACCAATAACATGTTAAAAGTCAATATTGATGTTGATGTGGTTGCAAGGGTTCTCCATTGCTTTCTACATGGGGAATATAGAAAGATTGGCCAGACATATCAGGTGGAAATATGTAATTAGAGGTATTAATACCTTGGTGAAACTGCGGCATAAGATTTGTGGACTGCATTCGATCTGATGGGTATGATGGCCTGATGTGCTGTGACGATTCACATGATTTTTGAATTGAAGAAGCAAGAGCAGTCATTGAAGCACTAATTGCCTTCAAAGACTCTGCAAATAATAAATTGGATTCTTTTAGGGAATTTGATATCTCTTTACGAAATTGTTGTTCATCTTTTGATTCTTGCATCAAGATTTTGTCGCGTTAGGAAGCTGATAACTGACGTTCCATGTGCCTACGTTTGTTATCAATCAATGTGGGTACCACATTTATTTTCCTCTTGCCACTTATTGCTTCATGCTTTTCTTTCTCACTAAAAGTATTCTCGCATTCTGCTATGGATTCATGATGAGAACTATCAGATATGCGAGAAGATCCTTCAATTTCATCAGACAAAGTTGTATTAAAGTCATTAATTTCCCAGCCTTCCTCATCTTCTTTTTCTGCTGATTGTACACCAAATTGCAATGGTTCTGTTGCAGGTGATCCTCCCCATATTTTGACCATAACATCATAAAACTCCATAACCATTTTTCCTGAGCCTGATCTTGTACCTGAGGTAACAGCATTACTGAATTTCTGTCGCAGATGTTTTATTTTTTCTTGAATTCGAGTATACCTTACTTGTATTAAAATTCGCGCAGTACTAGAATTCGCGCAGCGCTGAGTGCGCGAATTTTAGTACTGCGCGAAATATAATCCGCGCGAAAAGCTTTGAGTGTAATATGAGACATTCATTGTTGGTTATGCAAATCAGTTGTTTTATTAACGCATATACATATTGACATATGTTTTTAGTTGTCCTGGTAACATTAAAAATCAAAAATGTCTTCATTTTCATCCTGTACAATTTCAGTCGGGATATTCTCAGGTTGTACGTAGTATTCCGTCACGAATGCCTGCATTTTGCTGTATATCCTAAAACTTGCATTGTTCTGCATGACTGTTAGGGTAATAGGAATCTCTAAGCCTCCTTGTGGTAATGGGGATCGACGAAATTTGATGTCACACACACATGCTTATATATTGCCCCCATATTCAAAAAACAACTTGCAAAATCGGAAAATTTCTCGAGGCAAATGTCCGACCAGTGACAATGGTTCAATCTTGCCTCTGATTTTGGTAAACAGACCAATAGCATATGGGTCGAATAGGTTTCCTGATTCTGGTTTTATTATTAACTGCTGGTTGATTCTTGGAGCCCAGATTTTTCTGTATTCATGAAAACCTCGTGATGCGCAAGCCAGAGAAAACGATGTCCCCTCGGGGCTCAGTTTCACTGAATTAGAATCATCCGTTTCTGAATCGTGGGTTTCCTGAAGCAAGCAATCAGATTCGTAATTTTCTTTCGCGTCGCACGCTTCACATAAAGCAACAGTCGAACCACTTTTCCATCCAGGATAGTTTTCAGATGCAGGGATTGAACACTTGATTCCTCGGTTACAAACAAATGATTTGCATTTTAGACAAGTGTATTTTGTCAAATCATTGCACACGATGCAAATGCTTTCCATTTCTCCAACACAATAGTCAATGATGAGTCACGTTTCTTTAGGTGTTAGATATGATGTTCTATTATTATTTTGCAGACTGATTTTACTTCCTTATTAACTAATTGCCGAATACGTCAAACGTTTCCGCAACACATATTCTACCGTTCAAGTATTGCCAACAGAAAACATTGTGCGGGAAATCAACGCACATGGCACTGTTAAAATATTTCAAAAAGGTTTCCCAAGACGATATTTCGGTCGCCCTCGTCTGACAGCAAATTAAATGCTGCCGAAGAAAATGCAGTAAAACAGCAATTCTTTCTTGACGCTCCAGAACCAAAGAAAAGGAGGGGCAAATATGGAGCATATGATGCTTTTCAACGAGCAGAAATTGCAAAATGGGGAATTGTGCATGGAATAAGACCGGCGGCAAGAAAGTATTCCGTACCAGAGTCAACTGTTCGTGGACTTGTCAAATCGTACAATAAGGAACGAAAAGAGCGCACTGAACTCGAACAATTGCCAAGAAAACATCGTGGAGCAAAAACTTTGTTACCCGAGAACATCGATGAGAAAGTTATCGCCATGATCAAGAGCATGAGAACGGCCGGTTGTGTTGTCAATTACAACATTGCTATTTCCATAGCGAAGGGGATAGTACTGGCTAATAATGGGTCTTTGTTGAAAGAAAACGGAGGAACCCTAGAATTCCACTATACATGGTGCCAGTCAATTTTCAGAAGATTGGGTTTCAGTAAACGTAGAGCAACAACTGCAAAACAACGCGTATCACCTGGCTTCTTAAAAAAAATCCGCTTCACGTTTCATAGTTCTATTAAGGAAGTGGTTACCGCTTATGACGTTCCCGACGATCTCATTATAAACATTGACCAGACCCCTCTCCCGTTTGTCCTCATCAGCAAGTATACAATGGACAAAACTAACGAGAAGTTTGTGCCGATCAGTGATAGCGCCGATTATCGCCAAATTACTGGAACATTCTCAGTCACCGCGTCGGGAAAGTTTCTGCCAATTCAACTAAACTACCAGGGGAAAACAGACCGGTGTCACCCTAAATTCAGATTTCCAAAAGAATTCCACGTTACCCACATGGAAAATCATTGGTCAAATGAAACGAAAGCAATTGAATTAGTCAATCGCATTCTTATCCCCTATGAATTAGTCAATCGCATTCTTATCCTTATGTTAAGCAAATTAGAGAAGAAATTGGTTTTCGCGCAACAAAACAATGGATTTTGATCGCCGATGTTTTTAAAGCACATTGGACGGATGCCGTAAAGAAGATCATTTCCGACAATAATGGGAAAATGATACCTGTTCCCAATAATATGACATCATACCTGCAGCCCTTAGATTTAACGGTCAATCGCTCTTGCAAAGCTTTCCTTCGAAACCAAGCGCAAACATGGTACTCAGAGCAAGTCCAAGCCCAAATAGAGAAAGGTATTCAACCTGATAAAGTTTCTGATGATTTGAGAATTAGCGTGCTCAAACCACTTCACGCAAAATGGATAGTGCAGTTCTATGATTATATGCAATCGAACAAGGACATTGTCGTCAAAGGTTGGCAACGATCAGGTGTGAGCGCCGCATTGGAGGAACCACAACGAAAAGAGGATCCATTTGAGCTGTAGCTAAACTTTTGTTTGACTTATAAAGTATATTGTTAGGCAATATCATTTATTACATTTTTTAGTTCTTGTTGGGATAGTGAAATCACGCTTTATTTTGAAGCCATTTTTGAGTCCACCCAATCGCTTTTTTGATGAATATTGAGGTATTTCTTAATAAAGAAAGCTCAATATAAATGCGTTAATTGTTAATAGTTCTTTTGAACAAACCAAAAAGAACGAGCACATAAAACTACTTGCGCGAATTTAAAGCTGCGCGAATAATTGTCAACAAAGTGCGCGAAATTAAATCGCGCGAATTTAAAGCTGAGCGAAAATGAGTACGACTCGAATTTTAATACAAGTAAGGTAGCCTTGTCGAATTTGGGCTTTGAATTTTTCACATGACCTTGTATAATCATATTTATTGTCTTATTCAGTACATGCAGGAATCTCTGTCGGTCCAAACAATGAACCGTCACGATATTTGTTGGCCAAAATAATTCTAACTGCTTCATATTGTTTAACTTTGTCCGCATTGAAATCTGAGTTTCTATACTCCATTTGAGATTTGTACTCGAGCAACCCTTCCAGTAAATACTTAACCATTTTTAACGTCCACTGAAAGCGATTATCTATGTCGATCGTGGCAGATCTTTTAGATTTTTTACTTTTCTTTGCATTATCGTTTATAGAGCTTTCCGCCATTTTGCAAATTTAAACCAAGTGCGCATGCTTGACACAATAGCTTTCAACTCGCTTACCCGGGGCAACTCGGGAAAAAGTGATTACATGAGCGAACGAAACAATTTTCATCCCGGATAACCGAGTTGTCCCGGCTTTCAACAGCCGATATCCCAGCAAAGCGAGTTGACTCGTTTCCCATGTAATCACAATACTGTTTTTAATAGTAATTATAAAAGAGACGCGGTATCGGTAAAATTGTCTCACCTCGGCTAACCGGGACAACTCAGTCCATGTAATCGGCCCCTTAGTAATGAGAACTAATTGCCTGTGTCAAAATCATTCAAAGTGCCTAGAAAGCTAAATGAGCAAAGTAGCACACAAATTCGTAGTTTTACGCATTTATCATCAATCCATCAAGAACATTTCTACCATCCTTTGTCGATTTGGATTATATAGATTTTAAAGCTTTTTTAGGCTTATCAACACATCAAATTATTTAAGTAAGATGTTGCTTGTGTTATTTGTGGCTAAAAACAATAAATTGTGTGCTTTAATTAACCAACGGTAATGGCAAATCGACAATGGCATTATAAGACGTTCATAGTTCCTCATTGTCTTTGTTCAACAATAACTACAATATCTAAATAAATAAAATTTCACCTTACTTTGATCACCTTACAATATAGCAGCACATGCTCCAAAGCACCGTTTCTTGTTAAAGTTGCGCTAAGAATAAGAAATGAAAACAACCATTGATCGCGGAATCGTGTTACACGTGAATATACATGTTGAATTATTCCGTGCCCAAGTTCTGTGTTTATTCAAATAAAATCAAAACAGCATGTACTTACGATGAAAGCGTTGATCGGCTTGTTCTTGAATGTGTTGTATCAAATATATATTCTTTCTTGCGTGAAAATTTTTAATAGCTAATTTCGACTTGCCACTTGTAATGAAGTATATAGAAGACACGTGCAAAATGGTATTCTGAGCCCGCAAATTTTCTTAACGTCTACAGCGATTTATGTTCTTTTATTGCATATTTCGCCAACTGTGTCGCATCGGTCGCCTGCGCGTCATAACGTTATCAAACTATATATTAAAATATTTTTTTTTAACGCTGATACAGCGAACGCAAATTGACATTAATGTTCAGAAAAAACGACCGACGTTATTTTTATATACGACATTGATACAACGTTAAATGCAACGCACTACGTAAACATGAAATATTGTTGTGTTTGCTTTGTCGTTATGTAAGTAGTAATCTAGTTACTGTTTGATTCAGCCATTTTACATTGATTTTTTGCATTTGACTTTTTGATTTTTTAATTTTTAATTTCTAGTTAATTTTTACACGTAGAAAACAAATATACCCAGTCGCACGAAATTTTTTAACTCTAAAATTATTGCTTTAGGCGCAAAAATTTGGAAGTGGAAAACCGGCTTAGTACGAAAAAAGCGTAGAAGTATAGAGCAAATGGTCTACAACTAAGGTTAGAGAACATTGAAGGTTCCGTTTGTACAATTAGTTTTTCATTTGTTGCTGTGTTGCGTTATGTGAGCTGCTTTGAAAATTTAATCTTCGACCTGTTGATTAAATAACCGAGTTGAACAAAATACCGTCCATTTTTCCTACCCTTTTAATATAATTTAACATAATAAATGTGATTTAAGTCTGGTCTAAAATATTACAGAAACCATTTACTGAATGAGCTTTATTATTTTGAGAGATGGTAATTGGAGCTAAGCTGAGCTAAACTTAAGTCAAATGCATGATATTATTTTACACGAATGTGCATCGCATGGAGCTTTTGTGACTGATTCTTGTTTATTCATTTGTTTCAAATGCAAAATGTCATATGGGATGCATAAAATAAGAGCAAAATGCTAATGCCTTTTCCTCCAGTAATTGTATACAAGAAAATATTTTCAATTCTGATTGGCTAAGAGCATGTCAGTCATTGAAAAACTCACTCGTGCATGTTTATGCCAAATTGCATTCGAAATTATGCTATTACATTAACGAATAGCAAATAATTTCATATTTAACCCAATAACAGTAGCCCGAGGCACAGTTACGTAAGGTTGATTATGGTGTCAACGCAGAGTCGTAACTACCTTTGTAAAAGAATTTATTATTGTAGAGCACACGTACATGAATATCCTTCCTCCTCCAGTGCTCTAACTGGTTATACGCGACAGCGAAAAACATAATTGTACACTTTACTTGGTTACAAAACAACACTTATTGCTATGACTATCAGATGTGTCTACTAAAATTCCTGTATATTTTAATACAAGTTATTTATTTAGACACGAAGTAGATTATTGCATGAGGTATATACAATACTGGAATTTCGCATGCGACTTTGTACCTAGAGCTGTGGGTAACGCCAGCAGCAGCGTAGCCAGCCCGACTTTTTACTTCCGCTATGCAAATATTTTAGTGATCACTGACCGTGAAAACTTAGTAGACTTCTAAAGAAATTAATAATGGTAATCTATGAGAATTTTCATAGTGGGAGTAAATCTGCAAGCTGGCGTCTTGTTTTGAATTCAAACTAATGTGACGATATAATACATTTTTAAGCATACAAATGGAAAAGTGTCTTGAATACATACCATGGAACAGTTTTAACTGGTTTGGAAGAATAATATTGATTTTCTTTGGTATATTTGGCTTTATCGTTTCTGGTATTTCATTAAACTTATATGGTGATAGTTCATTCATTTGTCATAATGAGATTATATCAAAGACGAAAGAAAGTTCTCTTTTAAAGAGCATTGAATCAAGATGTTTCAGAAAATACAAAGATGGTTTAACTTTTAAGTATGCTGTTTTGCTTATGGTAATTTTTAATTTCGGCATTGTCTTGTTTTTGAGTATCGTCTATGGATATTATGTAAAGCGTCGAATTGAACATAATGATAATGACAGTCCAGTAGAAAACAGTGACGAACAAAGTGAACCTCTACATGTGGAAAATAGCGAAGGAACTTATCAATCTGACAACGTTGCATTTAATTTTTCTTCATTTTACATTTACATCGTTCATTTGGTGGTTCGCCTCATTATATTGTCTGTCTTTGTTGGATTACTTTTCTCTGCCAAGTTTCCTGTCGATTACACCTGTAAAAGACGTCCAACTATGAAAGAAATTTCCTTGTTAAATCACACCATTTCAACCATTGATTGTGAAAATCCCAACGGTGATAAAAGTGAAACCTTAATTAAAGCTGTTTTATCTGTCGATTTTATTGTAATAACACTAACAATTTTGGAGCTGTGTTACTTGACGTATAAGACTTGGAATGATAAGTACTTCAAAAAAGAGGATAAATTTTGTACAGTTTACTTGAATTTTGTAGTAATTCAAAAACCTAAATGGCCAAAAGAAAATAAATACAAACATGCAAAATCGTTGAAAGAAAATAAGGAGGAATATAAAACACCGTGTCAAGAAAATAAAGACAAAAGAACAAAGTGGTTGGAAGAAAATAAAAACGATCTTTACTCCAACAGTGTCTTTGAAATACACGACAACTTTGGTGGTGAGATGACAGAGTGGCGAAATCTTGATAATATTTATGTCAACGTCATAATACAAGAAGAGAGACAATTAAAGAATGCTTACCCAGAAAATTTTAATCGACATGAAATCTTTCATTCTTACCTTGAAGTGAGAAATGATGGAAAAAAACTAACAGGAGTAACTGAGATTTTTAAGCCAATCCAAGGTGAGCAAAGCACGTCGTATCCAAGATCTATTTTAGTCATTGGAAGGCCGGGAATTGGTAAAACTATGCTGACTAAAAAACTTGTATGCGAATGGAAAAATAATCGAGATGAATTTTGGCAAGATAAACTTGTTATTTTATTGAAATGTCGTGATCTTGAAACTTGCGACATTACTCTCAAAGAAATGTTAAAGCGGTGTGATGGACTAAAAGATAAACATTATTCTCAAGTTCACGAATTCATAATCACTTATCCAAAACAAACTGTCATTATCATCGACGGACTCGATGAATTATTTTTAAGTCGTTTAGAGTTCCACGAAACAAAGAACCCTGTATTTAAACTAATAAAAAAGTTAGTTGAAGGTGAAACGCTGTCTGATGCCATTGTTCTAGTAACATCACGACCCACAGCTGAACATGCATATGGATGTTTCAAGTTTGACAGGACTGTGGAAATCTTGGGCTTTTGAAGATCAGATTAAAGATACGTCAACAAGTTTTGACAAGAACAGGAGTACATTGAGCATTGATAACTTGAACAAAAGTTTTCTGTCCATGGAGACATTGTTTGTCTGACCTAAAGAGTGTTTGCGAATGGTGTTCCAAAGACTATCACTGGTTATAAATAGAGCAATCAAAGTCTTGCTGTGGAAGCATCATATCTTTGCACATGGAAATTAAGGTTGATCCTCATCAAAATCTCCTGCTTATTGGGATGGATGGATGCCGAGAATTTGTTTAAAATAAGTGATAGTGCCTCAATAAATTAAAATGAACTCATTGCTGGTCGCTGTTGTCATTGACTGAACTCAAGACTGCAATACGATGCTGTTATGAGATGAACAAAATTTCAGTTGGATGATAATAAAGCTGATCCAAAATGGAATTTGGTATACAGTTTGTTGCTGGTTGTTGGAGAATGAAAAGGGGCATCATCAGAGATACTAAAAATAGAAAGATGTTGAACAACATTGAGAGTATTTATTGATTTAAATATTGTTCGATAATTTCACAGTTTTAGTTCTGCTGGACAGGAAGGGGCACTCTACGTCTACTTTGATTTTGTGGAATTTCATTGTATAAGAAATTGCAGCAGTTTTATATAAAGTTGGCGTGTATTTATACAAGGCATAACTTCATGCTCTTCTGCAGAATGTTGTATAGTTTGTCGCTGGTGTTGTTAAAATTCTATCTGTAAAACAAAACTGTTGCCTTTTCTATATTGCACTGAAGCTGACGCTTCGTGTTCTGCCGATGGCATGGGCAATCCTTATTATGCGTGGGTTGCTGAATGCTTCATGTGGATATAATTTAAGCACACGCTTTTTAATTTGAAGTAATCGGTATGTTGCAAATCACGATCTAGACGACCAGGACGAGGCTCTTACATTGAAGTAAAAATATGTGATATTTATTCTATCATTCATTAGTGTTATGCAGTTATAAATATTGTAAGAATGATGCAATTACATTCTAGATCATAATTTTGTTATATGATAATATAGACAAAGGTGTTTTATTCATGAGGTTTAGCAGTTAAGCAAGGAGTCTGTAAAATAGAATTACTTGATTGTTAAAAATCTATATCAAATGATCACTTGACTGGCTAAATTGCTTTTCTTATTTCTTTACTTAGTTTCGGCTACCATTTGATTAATATTCCAATTAACTCAGCATTTTCGACTTTTTCGAGGCAAGTTGTAATAATCCAGCTCATATTTACCTAGTTTTATCTAAAATCTGGATGTTTGTAAGTAATAAAGTATAATTGTAAATGTATTAAGGTTAGGCACAATAGGGGTTATTTGGCTTTGTTATTAACCATTAAAGTATGGTTCATGCTTTCGTTCTTGCCTGTTTTCATCAATTATAAATGATAAGATTTGGGTTAATTTGTTGTAGCAAAAGGACTGTTCTTTAAATTTTTCCAATGCAATATGCTTCACTAATAAAGTAGGGTTTTGTTACATATATTCAGAATTTATTCCTGTTAATTATTAGTGAACTATCTATTACTTATCAAATATTATGTAGCATTCAACCTTAAATATATTGACCTTGCATGTTGGACAGCTGATATAAAAAAACTGGGTAGAAAAATACTCCTCTTACTGTTTTATTAGTAAAATGTGCAACTTTCATTTTAACCTTCAGTATGTACCAACATCAGTTGTGATTTAGAAAAGGGAAGAACATCTTAAAAAATAATTCAAAAACATGAAAATCGATGCAAATAAATTTTCAGAATTTAATACATTGCACTAAATCCAATCAAAAATCACTTAAAGCTCTTTATAGTACTTTATTTTATTCAAAACTGCATGAACTATCACAACATATTGAGTATTTGGAGAGCAATCATTATGTGGTAGTTGTAAGTTATGTGGTTATAATTTCATGGAATGTTGTAAGAAACCACATTTCATTTTTACAAATCGCCTTTTTCTTTTGAAAAAGGTATTCATACAATCGGCTATCCATATCAGCTTACTGTATGTTTCATTTGCAAATCGAAGTATTGCATATTAGGTTAGCTCTAGTGTTTACTATTCCAGCATGTTTTTACATATAGTCTGTTAAACCACTAAGGTCAGAAGGACAGTGCAGACCTGCATACGTAATGTGCGTTACTTAATCAATTTAATATGATATGACGTCTGTTTTATGACGTCATATGTCTGACGCCATAAAATTTGTCTGCTGTGTTTAAAATCGTAGATCTGCCCCTGTATGAAAAGTCCTAAGAAATCCAACTTTCAGAATATCCTAAATTTAGGATTTTCTATGCCGATGTGAAAAAATAAAATACCAGCATGCTCAAAGAAATGGCAAAAAAGACTTACGAGGTTTATTGAAACAAATCAAATTGAAAGAAACGATGATGTATTTTGGAAGTAGTTTGTTTGAATTTATGTTATATGTGAAATATATAAATTAAGTTGTTTTGATGTTAAAATATTGGATAAGAAACGATGTGTTTTGTTACACAAGTGTTTCAATTAATACTGTTGCAACATGCACTATGACGCAGAAGACATCAAAACATTACATGTGCAATATATCATTAAAAATATTTAAATGCTTTCTTCATTCTACGTTTCTCCTGGTTTAACAAGATTTTTTAGTTGAAACGTATAATCTCGGGAGTGCCTGTCAAATGTTGATTTTCCAGACGTAAACATCATTAGTTTCCGCTTCGTACATGAAACAAAATGTTTCAAATCATACAAACAAGAAGAAATATTTCTTTCACATATATTCTTTGAAAAGGTAAGGTATTTTTATTTGACTGGCGAAGAGTTTGCAACCATTTTTGTCCTTAAATCATGAAAAAGTTAACTATAATTCTTTTGTAATTTAAATATT